AGAGTGGTATAGGTCAAGTTGGGCTTTCGTTTTTTGCCAGTGTATCGTGATTTCTTGTTGGATATATTGCCTTATCATATCTGTTGACTCTTCCCCGGTGATGCGGACCCCGTCCATAACCAATATGCATCGTTTTCGCCAAAGGGTCCACATAACCGCTCTTCTTCCCAACTTGAACATGTTGTTTTCGAAGGTATTATCAGTGGGGGAGGACCATGCCTCGCATAGAATGGCCCGCCGATCCCATGGCCAGTGAGAACCAGTGCCCAATCGAGACCAGATCCTGTCCCACCATCGCCATGTGAGCACAGCCCCTGGGCATTGCATAAATATGTGCTCTATGGTTTTCGGGATCCTGTGGGAGGGAAAGGTTGTGTGGCATGACCTGCACCATGGTAGTGCCAGCCCTTTTTGCTCCAGGTATGTGCGGTCAATCAGCCAGTCGTTGGTGGGCAGGCAGCGGTGTTCTATCTGCCATTGGAGAGAGGCCATCTTTGCAGGTCTGGATCTTGTGGCCGAGAACCATCGAATCGGGCGAATTGCCTCGCTTCCTATGTTTAGATGTGACCTCCAGCGGGCCTTAACTTTGTCCTTGAGGTTCACATTTGGGTCGAAGCAGCCGGTATGTGGCCTTCACTGATAGGGTGTGCAGCTTTAGGTTCGTCCCGGTTCTGGGTTTTCGCTTAGGGACCCACTGCCAGTCGTCCGGATCGAAGGGTAGCTCCATCAGGGGAGTGCTCGGCTGGTATGCGAACCATACGTCTTTATCCCGCAGCACACGTATCCTGTGCAGGTCCGTTGCTTTCCACCGTCGGACCACATCAGGATGATAGCGGGTGAGTATATTGTCCTTGCCAACATGGAAGAGGTTTATTAACGTTCCGTCAGATCTTACCTCCACCACATTGCCCACACTCTCCGGGTCCTCCGGGGCAGCTACCCAATCTCCCTCCATCAGGCGTGGTCCTCTGCGTAGAATGCGCACCCAGTCCAGGGGGACTGCATCGGCTAGTAGTTGAACATTCTCTTCAATTTTGTGATTGTACTTCAGTATGGCTCTCAATTGTGGCCCCGTTTTCCAATCCCCCGCTTCCTTGTCCCATATGTCTTTTATCCGAATTTTTTTTTTTTAAACCCAGCCATTCCATGGGGAGTTTGAGCTACGATACACCCTGCTGTAGCGGTCCGTTATCTTCCTGTTCCCAAAGAGAGGCTGGCGCATGACCTCCTCCCACCTGGTTGGTGAGTGTTGATCAGGCAGGGGGAGTTGGCGCCAGGTTTTAATGACTCGGGCCCAGAAGTCATCTCTGACCAGGTCCGCGCGTGCCGCATCTCGGGGTGAATCTCGCTCCTTGCGGGGGCGCCTCGGCACCATCCAAAAGCGATCCTCTAGCCAGGTCAAAGGACTAAGCTCTTGTGGTGCCTGAGGGGCAGCATTGATTGCCCTCCAACGAGGGGATTGACTGCCCATCTACGATCCACCCTTTCCTGTGTGCACCTGCCAGCATTGATTGCCCGGTGGCC